AAATTTACTATGAAAAATACAAAGAGCAAGTATATATATATATATATATATATTCTCATTTCTTTTACTCTTTTTACATTTTGCTTAAATCTATGAAGGGGGTTTATATGTCAATTTTATTTTTTTTTGTAGATTTTAATATGTTTTTTAAAATCCCTATTACAAGATCTTATGAACTAGTATCAAGACTAGAATTTTTGTTAATGCTTTAGGTAAAAGAAAAATAAGAAGGGTGATAATTTGTAGCAATTTCATCACAAATTTTATTTTTATCCTGGATTTGTCATTAGGTTAAGTATGTTTATGAATAATGATGTGCTGAATGCAAAATTAGACTTATTCAATTTGGTCAATTAAAGTCCAACAATATCTATATCTATATTATATCTATATATATATATATAAGAATATTATTTTCATGAAACTTCATAAATTTTAACAACATCATATTAAAAGACAAAACACATTCACTATATCAAAGTACAAGTGATCCAATTTATTAAAATATGAATTAAATAAGCTAATTTTATAAACATGTGCTAACATTTTCGATTTTAACATCATACGTTCGCTCTATCATAAATTTTTTATTATGAAATAATGATCTTGTTACAATTTACAAATGCTTGTGATGAGCCAATCATCTATCTCAATTAAAGATTATTTTTTCCAAGTCTGTCATAAAATGTACGGGTAACAAAAAGTGATGTACTAAAAAAGCAGATAAATCTATCACAAACCTAAACTTTATTTTCAAAACAAATAATAATTTATATAACGATCTTGAACCTCGTGAATATGAGGTTGATTTAGTAGTCGAAGAATTTTGAGATTTCAAGTTCAAATCTTAGGTATTACTTTTTTTTTCCTGAACTCTCTTAATGAAAATTTTGAATCTGTCACTGCTTTAGACAGAAACGATAATAATTATATAATCTTGCTTAATTAATGATGTTTTTTTTTTGTTGTTGTAATAGGTATGGGAATTTCTTCAAATCCCACATACTTGGTTGCCCTACTGTTGTTTCAATGGATGCAGGGTTGAATGTATATATTCTGAATAATGAAGCAAAGGGACTTATCCCAGGCTACCCACAGTCCATGTTAGACATTTTAGGGAAATGCAATATTGCTGCTGTGCATGGTGCTACTCACAAGTACATTAGAGGAGCACTTTTATCTCTAATAAATCCCACAATGATCAAAGACCATATTTTGCCCAAAATTGATAAATTCATGAGATCACATTTGAGTGGTTGGGATAATTGCAATGTCATTGATATTCAACAAATGACCAAAGAGGTGAGCTCACAAATCTAGTATATAATATAGTAGTATCTTCTTTTTTTTTTTAATCACTAGTACTATGATTTAGTTTTCTATATACAATATATATACAATTAAGCTGCTTAAGATTCCAGCCTTAATATAATAGGGGGAGAGTTTGGCTTGAACATAGGCTCAAACATAATTTGAAGGGTCCAAGCCGGAAATGATGAAATTGGGGAAAAACATGGAAGATATTGGCTGTAGAGAGAGTGCCTATCTCTCATAAGAGAAGGAGAGTCACTGTTTTTTTAGAGTATATTAACGAGTAGGACAATACTAGCTAGGGTGTGTTAGGTACTTAGGTTGGGAGTCTTTTTTTTTATTTTTATTTATTAAATATGAAGAAATATGATTTTATGGATAAAAATAATATGTGTATATATCTATTGATTTCTTGATTTTTATTTCTTAAGATTTCTTCGTGATTTAATGACCGTTAGGGGTTTATATTTTAAACTACGGTGATTTGGACTTGATTTTTATGAAATAATTTGTTTGTGAACGTTCTTGAAGTACTTGATTATCAAGAAAAGTCTAGCATATTTTGATATCTTTACGAATATCAAGAATTCAATTACATGATGTTCAAATATTTTGTTTACTTATTTCTTTTAGGAAAGATCAAAAGTTCTAGTGAAAATAGTGAAAACAAGTTTTATAACCGGGTTATATAAATACTTTTTGAGATTACTTATCAATTATTAGAAAACACTTGTAAAGTGCTAACAAATTGCTCTTAGATGGCATTTTTCTCATCATTGGACCAAATTGGTGGGTTTGCAACAAGCTCATCAATAGCTCAAGAATTCAGGGCTGGATTCTTGAATATTGCACTTGGAACTATTTCATTGCCTATCAACTTTCCCACCACAAACTATTATCGCGGATTACAGGTAAATAACGTACCATAGATTTAACTTATATACACTGATAATATAATTAATTACAGTATGAATGTGTTGATCCAGGGGCGGAAAACCATTGTCAAACTATTGAGGAAAATAATAGAAGATAGAAGAGGTAGCAAGAAAATTCAACAAGACATGCTTGGTTTGATGATGAATGAAGAAGCAAAAAATAGATACACATTAAGTGATGAAGAGCTAATTGATCAAATTATAACAATAATGTATTCTGGATTTGAAACTGTCTCCACTACTTCTATGATGGCTGTCAAGTATCTTCATGATCATCCAAAAGCACTTGAAGAAATTAGAGTAAGTATTTAATTATTAATAGACATTGCTTGATTTATTAAATCGTCTTATCAGAAGCAACCTCTCTTCCTTACCTCTGATCAGGTAAATGTAAGGTCTGCGTACATTTTACTCTTTTCGACCTTACTATGTGGAACTATACTGAGTACGTTGTTGTAATATAACTTGTAATTTTGTAGAAAGAACATTTTGCAATCAGAGAAAAGAAGAGTCTGGAGGATCCAATTGATTACAATGATTTTAAGGCTATGAGATTTACAAGGGCTGTATGTGTGACAATTTTTCATAAGATTGTTTGTGAAATTAATGCATGTTAGCAAATTGATTCTATTTTAAATATTTTTTATTCTTCTTTTTTTTTGTGGTGCAGGTGATATATGAGACATTAAGGTTGGCAACAATTGTAAATGGTGTTCTTAGGAAAACCACACAAGATATGGAATTAAATGGTAAGAAAAATTCTGTTGATACTATAGGTTAAAAAATTTATACTTTAGTATGACAATCCTTATAATGATGGGGATCAGTGTTCTGGTAAATTACTATCACTAAATGACTTTTGTAATATATACCAACAAATTAGCGCAGATAAGAATGTTGAGATGGACGTATTGATTTACTAAGAGAGATAGGATCTAAAATAAAGATATTTAGGACAAGCCGGAAGTAGAGTATCTCAAGTGGTGAACAAGATAAAAAGGTGAGATTGAGGCGGTGGACAAGATGAAAAGGAGATGCATACGAAAATGTCCTAGTGAGGAGGTTTGAGAGGTTGATTATCGTGGATTTTTTTGGAGAGATAAAGGTAGATCGAAGAAATAGTAGAGAGAGGTGATTAGACAGGATCAGACATATCACACCTACAACTTATTGAGGACAGTTGCCCGGATTAGAGTGTTAGAATGTTAGTAGGTAATCAAGCATCGTATAGTTTCCCTTTTCAGTAGTATTATTAGTTCTCCTACCATCGTATTCTTCGTTTTTATTATTACATGTTATTTTCTCAATTATATTGGTGAATAATTTAACTTCTTACCCTTCATTTCATTGTTTTGCAGGATACATGATTCCCAAAGGATGGAGGATATATGTGTACACAAGAGAGCTTAACTATGATCCATTGATTTATCCTGACCCGTATACCTTTAACCCATGGAGATGGCTGGTTAGCAATTATACTCTCTCTCTGTGTTTCATTTTACGTGACACCATTTAACATCTAAATAAATATTGGACGTTACGATATGTAGGAAAATAACTTGGACCACCAAAGCTCTTTCTTGATGTTTGGAGGAGGTACAAGGCTTTGTCCTGGAAAGGAACTAGGTGTGGCTGAAATTTCAACATTTCTTCATTACTTCGTTACAAGATACAGGTAATATACAATATATATACATGTTTCACAACTATATTATATATATATATATAAAAGAATTGAATTTCTTATTTGAATTATAACATTATTATTAATGTTGTTGTGCACAGGTGGGAAGAGGTTGGAGGAAATAAGCTGATGAAATTTCCTAGAGTTGAAGCACTAAATGGCCTATGGATTAAGGTTTCAGCTTACTAATTATCAAATTATCCAAACTCATGTGTTTCCTAATAAATTAAGCTGCAGACTTCTTTTTATGTCTTTATTATTATGTAGAATACACCAAACTCATGTTTGAGATGTGGTGTCTATATACTTTTATGCAATATTATTATAATATATGACATAGACGTTATATATACACCCTTATTAGAATTATTATTCGCTACATATATATTGTGTGTATTGTGTTTAGGGTGCACGTGCATCTATTAATTTTGAAACAAATTAATTATATATATAATCTTGAGAAATCGATAGAAACTGAATATAGTTAATAGTGCACTCATGAAAATAATAAAAGGTGGTTTGACTTGCTTGTACACGATAATACATCCATCCATGTGACCTAGGTTCTCTATCCTAGCTACGACCTCTTTTTTTAGCTTAATATTGGTGAATTCGGAGTTTTCAAAATCCTCAATATTGTAATTTGTCTTTTAGGTTGTTATACACCATGATAATTGTGGATACATTTATTATTCAAGCTTCAATTATTTACTCCTAGAAAAAGAGAATTTTATTGAAATTTTCATCTTCAATAATTTCACACCTAGATAAAACCCCTACTTTCTACATTGAAATGATCATTATATATGACTCACTTTTCATGATCTTCATTCACATTAGAGAAAGTGATCAAAAGCCGTTAAACTATAGCCGGATTCATAATTACACACTTATACTTTATAAGTATTTAATTATCCTTTTGAACTATTTTTGATTAGAATTAATGTCACCTTATATGCTGTGGTGGCAAAGAAAGTGCATTCACTCTCTTTGAGAGAGTGAGAGACAATTCTTTTTATTAAAACTTTAAATTTGCAAAAAATTTGTTCTTTTCATATTAAGTTTTTTCATTTATTTTTTAAAAGTTATGTTATCTTTTACTTTTATTACCTTTTCTTTATAATTTTTTTCATCTTCTTTCTTTTTCTTTTCGGCCTTTCTTTGGATTTAAGTCACCGAAAAATTTCACGAACTCACTTCACTGTTACTAATGCTATTTTGTTCCTCTTTCTTTCTTTTTTTCAAAAGAAATTGACTCTTCTTCTTTTAGTCATAAACTTCAATTTTTTATTTTGACACCACTAATTTTATCGTTGTCATATCGTCATTTCTATCTTTCTTTTTCAGATCTAAAAAATCCTTCGACTATCATAGTACGTGTTGTTATTAAATTTTGAGTAATAGTAGATTAAGAAGTATTTAAAAGTGAGACAAATGAATTAATTTCTTCTAAAATAATAAAATATACCTTCGTAGAAGGGACATGGCAACGAAATTAAAAATAACAACTTTAAATCACAAATCCACTTTGAATTTTTCCATCATCTCCAACTCCAATATGCTATCCATTTTTCGAAAACTAAATGACCACCTGAATTTATCCTGTCATCTAATTTTTTGATTGGCCAACTCAACTTCGATTAAACAAAATTATCAAACTTTACTAAATTTATTAAAATAAAATAAAATAAAAAATAAAACATGAAGAAAGAATATACAGAAGAAGAAAGAAGAAGGAGGTAACGTAAGAGAAAACAGTCAAAGAAAAATCAAAAGGGGACTAAAAACAAAAGAGAAAAATATACAATAAAGATAAAGATAAAGAATAATAACTTTTTTATTTTATAAATAATATTATATTATGTGGCAGACGAGAGTATCATACTTCTTAACATAAATTTGAGTATGAATTTTTAAGGGGTATATATTTCACTTTTACATTGTTTAGAACATCCGTAAAGTTGAAATGTATAGTTGAAATTTCATGTATAGATTGGAGTGATTTTAGACTATTTTCTCTTCACATAAAAAAGGTGAAAACCTTTATCTATATTAGTTAATTGTCATTGAATTTAATATTATTATAGACTTTAAGAATATTTAACAAGAGTGCTAAATATTTATATTTAGCAGCAATTAAATTATTACTATTTAGTATTGTTAATTAACAGTTGCTAAACATAATTTTTTTCATACAATAACGATAAAGAATAATAATTTTTTTAATTTATAAATAATATTATATTATGTGGCAGGCGAGTGTATCTCACTTCTTAACATAAATTTGAGTATGACTTTTTAAAGGGTATATATTTCACTTTTACAATGTTTAGGGGGTAATAGAACACTCGTAAAATTGAAGTGTGTAGTTGAGATTTCATGTATAGATTGGAGGGATTTTAGACTATTTTCTCTTCACATAAAGAAGGTGAAAATCTTTATCTATATTAGTTAATTGTCATTGAATTCAATATTATTATAGACTTAAGAATATTTAACAAGAGCGCTAAATATTTATATTTAGCAGCAATTAAATTATTACTATTTAGTATTGTTAATTAACAGTTGCTAAACATAATTTTTTTTTCATAAGTTCAACTCCATCGATGCCATTTGATTATATACAAAATGTTTACAATTTGTTTGGTTAAAAATAAATTTCAAAATATTAGAAAAGTTATTTTTTTGAAAAAATAAAAAGATTTTCTAACTCTTCAAAATCTTAAACGCCATTGTATGTGGCCATACAAATATGAACCAACTTCAACTTCACTAAAAGTCTCCAGCGTTTCTCCAAAGTCAACTTATTTGCATGCAAAAAGTTCACAATTTGTTTAGTTTTATACTCTTTTCCCTATGCTTTAATTTACGCATCACATGGTTTAAAGCGTTGTTTAAACATCACATATTGCACATCAAATCTCGAACCAAAAGCTCTACCCTATGGGCGATTTGGATCAAAATGTTTTGAGTTATAATTTATTTTGATTGAAATGAATTGCGCTTAAAAATGGATGATAACTAAATTCCTTCAATTGTTACAAAATTTTAAATTCTTCATTTGTTATTTCATGTTGTAATATTTGTTACTTCCATATCAATTTCAACTATGCATCAATCCAATTTTAAGTAGACGTAAAAAGGATATTTTTATGATTAATTTAGAAAAAATCGTGTTTTATAAAAATAATATAAGAATACACTATAGGATCTGTAGAATTTATGTTTTTCAATTTAAATCATGAGAATTGCTCGAATGATAAATATTTCTCACTTTCAACTTTACAATTGTAAATTCGAATATCAAAAGAGATGAAAACTCTTGGGATTTTAATAAAATAATCATGGAAACCATTTGCATTTTGCACTTTGGTCAGTAAAATTTAAATGTTGTCTAACTTAAATATTATACAAATAAAACTTTCCTTATACTTCACGTAGATTGCACTTTAAATATGGAGCCAAATTTCTGACTTTATTATATGTCGGTGCAACGTAACTATATAGACTATATTAGTACTTCCCACTTTTATTACACATTTTTTTTATCCTTTTTTTAAAAAATAAATTTTATATTTAATCAAACAATGTCATTTATAATTAATAGGTTCGAAAAATCAACCACAAATAGTTAAAGAACTATTCAGATCTTATGCAATGTATAGCTTAATCAAATTATGATCACAATTAATAGACAAAAAAAAAGAATTATAAGCTTCTAAGTATCAATATATAGGATGAAAATATTAATAAGAAATTTAAAAGTTCTATTTCCAACTTGTTATAACATGTTACTAGCTATCTCATTTTCTACTTTATTAACTCCTAAAGTATTCGTAGTAAAAAGAAACAAATTGTTATACACTATATATTTCACTTTTTAAGCAACGTAAAAAGACATAAAGTTACAATTTATTAATACTAAAAATATATATTTTTTTATGTTACCTTCCACCAACGCAAATATCGCGAACTTGTCTAGTTTGAATAAGTCCCCTTCCATCTCCCTCCAATTCCTCCGCTCATTCCACTATCTTAACTTTAGCCTTGTTATAAATATAACATATTTTCTTCTCTATTTCTTTCATATATTATTTCTTTTCCTTCTCTCTTTTACTAACCAAAATAAAATAAAATAAAATTTAGTTAGCACAATGGCTTCTGCTGCTTTGAAAGATGAATTAGATATTGTGATACCAACAATTAGAAACTTGGATTTTTTGGAAATGTGGAGACCTTTTTTTGAACAATACCATCTTATCATTGTTCAAGATGGTGATCCTTCAAAGACCATTAAGGTCCCTGATGGTTTTGATTATGAACTTTACAATCGCAATGATATTAACAAGATCTTGGGTCCTAGATCCTCTTGCATTTCCTTTAAGGACTCGGCTTGTCGTTGCTTTGGTTACATGGTTTCTAAGAAGAAGTATATTTACACCATTGATGATGATTGCTTTGTAAGTGAACTTTCCACCTCTTTGAAGTAAATCTTTGTGAGTTTAATTTATGTTTACGCTATCAGATCACCTAAAAAGATAACTGTCGATGAAATTTGAGATTATTAGTTATAACCTAGAGGAAAGATTATGATACTATATATGAGTGTGTATTTATAAATTAGATTGAAGTTCCATTTGTTTGAAAATGTAGATAGGATTTTGTGCATATTGTGTCGACCTATATATTGTAACTCGAGTTCTGGGTCTAACTCAACCCCAAAAGTCAGCTCATGAGGGAAAGATTATCCAAGTTCATTTAAGGAGACTACCAGTCCATTCCCCAACCAATGTGAGACTTTTACCCACCCTAACACCCCGTTCATGCCCAGACCTAACTGAAGCGTGGATCGGGAGCATAAACGAGGATGAACTTGATATTGATATCATGTAAAAATATGACACTTAGGCCTAACCCAACCCTAAAAACTAGATCATGAATGAAAGACGATTGTCAAGCCCATATGAGGAGACCACAGGAATGTGGAGACTTTTCATCACTTGTAGAAGTTCAAGTAATTAAACTTATTACTTTTCATTTGGCACCACATCACTTGTCTAGTTATGTGAAATCTCAAAATAGTCTAACAAATGAAAAAGGAAGATTGTATATTGAATCAAACACAACTATTCATATGATGATTAATCCAACTTGGTTGAAAATTACTTTGTTTTAGGTTGCAAAGGACC